AGCTGACAAAACAGAGCTTCAAACGTTAAAGACAGAAATACTTCAAACACTATATCCTATAGGTTCTATTTACACGTCAATGAACTCTACCAGACCAGAAGTAGTACTTGGTTTTGGAACTTGGACTCAAATAGTCGACAGGTTTTTGTATTGTGCAAACTCTTCAAAGGAAACAGGTGGAAGTAAAACGATTTCAGGTGAAAACTTACCTGCACACAGTCACTACATAGATTTAAGTACATCTCAAGCAGGTTGGCATAAGCATAGATTTTGGGATTGGTCAGCAATGAAAAAAGGTAAAGGATATGATGTTAAAGACAACGTTCAGTTTGCTATAAATTGTTTCTGGGGTAGCACACAGGGAGAAGGAAACCATACACATCGCGTTTCAGGGTATACGCAAACAACGGACAAAGTAAAGACTACATGCCACCTTACATGACAGTTTACGCATGGTATAGAATTGCTTAGTCGTCATTTTCAACTTCTTTAGCATATTCGTCAGGAGTTGTCTTATATTTGTTAGGAACTGTCTTTGAAAGTATACCACCTTGAACCTTAACAAGTTTGAAACGAGGTCTGACAATAGTAGTTTTATCTTCTGCTTGCAGTCTGTACATTTTGCCATGTTTGCCTAAAACTTCATAATATTCTCTTGTATACTTTCTTCTATTTTTACGAACCGAATGTGAGTACCTGTCGAGTTCCCATTGTTGTCATAAGTCAATAGTATTTTCATATGGGTCGCGTTTAGGTATTTCTATTTTTACTTTGTCACCTTTCTTAAGTTTGAAGCCTGGCATTCTTTCTTGTTTGTCTCTTTTGACTAAACTATTAAATATATAGTCTTTCTCTAAGTCAGGGTTGTTTTTCATTTCTTCGGGGAGTGGTTTCCCAAACCTTTTTGTTTACGGCTATTGTAAATATTTAAAACTTGTCTCATCTTTGCCATGGAGAAGTGTCTATATTTGTCGTCATATGACATTTCATCTACCTCACCACCTTGTGGTTGATTTAAGTCTCTTAAGATTTTTATACAACTGTCAATGACACCAAGAGCAGAATGGTTTTGGTCGACAATGAAATATTGGTTTACATTTTTTGAACGCAGATAGTTTTTAATATCGTCTGATTTGAAAGAACTTTCACAGTCAGATGTCAGTTTTTGTTGGATGGTATTTGTCAACGAATATTGTCAAAGCAGTTTTCACATCTAAAATATTTTTGGACCATAATGGTATGGCTTCACAGTATCTTGTGTTTTGACCAACAAATATTAGCCAGTATGGTGGTCCATCTTCTCTATATCTCGGAATGTTTTCCAAGATATCCATAAACCAAGCATTTGGTGTTGAACTAAAGATTTTTACCATGAGTGCTTTCTTTGTCGCTTTAGAAACATACGGGTCCTTGTTTGAATTCGTCATTTTTAACCATAAGAAATGGGTTTATTTGGCGCATTAGCAGGAGTCGCATCTAGATTTTTACCCGCAGTGGGAACACTAGCCAGAGTGCATTTGGAATTGGAAGGAAGATTTTGAGTACATTAGGTATACTGAAAGAGAAAGCACAACCTATTATACAAACTGTACAGAAAGGTTGGGAGGTAGCACGAGATGCAGCAATCTTATTCCAAATCCTGAAACAAGAGAAAAGTTCAAGGATGGATGGACAATGTAGGAAGACAAGCAGGAAACTACTATAAAAAGCAAATGACTACTATAACAAGCAGGGCACTACATGGACCAAGGTGAAAGATTTTTTAACAGAGGATATAACCTGCACAACAGTGGGTAAACAACAACCAACCTCAACCCGCCTCAAACGTGGGGAATGTAAATTTTTTTACTGAGATGAAATGAACAATACAGCATTGAGACAAATGGGCTCAAGATGGCTTTGTCGGCTTCAGCAGTTACACAACCACGTGTTTGTCAAGTTCTTCCTATACCTCAGGAAGTTTTAGACCGACTTAAAAAACCTAAACAAACCAGTTGAAAACAAACCAAACTAAAATTTTTTACTGAGATGAAATGAACAATGCAGCTTTAGACAGAATAGGTCATGGAAGACCACCTTTTAAACCACGTGTTTGTCAAGTTTTTCATATACCTCAGGAAGTTTTAGACCGACATAAAAAACCTAAAACAACCAGTTGAAACAAACCAAACTAAAATTTTTTACTGAGATGAAATGACCGAAGAAGTTGAAACAGTAGATTTGACACCACAAACAAAAAGTTCAGAACCATTGTCAAAACCTGTCAAAGAACTTACAGATGAAGAGAAAAATTCAATAATAGAAAGTGCTAGGTCTGGAAATACAAACTCTAACTACAAAGTCACTTTTCATAAAAATGGAACGGCAAGTATCTCAAAAAAGAAACAGACTCTCACAAATAAAATATTGAAGTCTGAAGGAGCTTTCGAGACAACAGATGGAAAAGTTTACTTCACTGACCAACAGTTCATTATAGAACATCTCATTGACTTAGAGTCGAAATATTCTAAACTTTACAACAAACACAAAAAGTTGAAAGGAAAACAAAAACAGATGGCATATGACATTTATGAAGATGTTGACGACACAACTGTTCCAGCAAGTGAGGTAAAGTCAGATGAACCGAAAAGTGACGAAAAACCAATAGAAGAAGAGAAACCAAAACCAAAGGTTAGTTTCAATACTAAACCAAGTCAACCTTCATTAGCTGGTATGGGTTGGCGTCAAAGACTTATGGCAGCCGGTGGTTACGTAAAGTAAAGAAAAAAACATTTTTTTATTTTTATAAAAATGCCCCCGTATAGAATGGATAGAAGGTCTGCTAGAATAAAAGCAGAGTTAGAAAGATATGGTTGGAGAGTTTCGAAGAAGTTTAAATATAGGAAGGGAAAGCCAATAAAAGTCTATGACAAACTGTCTGGTCTTCGCTACGAAATGGACTTAGAAACAGCACGCGCAAATTATCCAAACAGATTAGAGAGGTTAGAAGAAGAGCGTCTTATGGACATGCCTTTCGATGTTAATGAACCGCAAGTTGAAGGACACGACGGCTTTGCCAGATTCTACTGGAAACATGACGAACAATTGCATCCTTTGAGAAGGAAAAAAGGAAAAGGTGAAGACGCACATGCTCCCATGGAAAGAACAAGATATGCATATGAAAAGTATCGTGAGGTTAGAAGTAAAATTACATCTGGTCGAACCTTTACAGTAAACTTTGACGAAGGAAAGAACAAAGAAGGCTTCATGGGAGTACTTGCTGCCATACAAGACGGAAATAAGAAAGGATACAATCTCAGACTAACCGTAACAGATTTAGATGGTCATATTTACTATGCACATGGCAATGTCACAACAGCCGCACAACTTCTTGACGCTTTCAAGACTACAAAGAGAGAACAAATGTTTGACTCCGACTCAGATATTTTGAATGCGATTGAAGGAATTGCAAGCGTGAAGTTCGAATGGTATCAACCCAACCCTCAAGCAGTCAGACAACATGCTGGATACTTCCCGTTCAGAAATAAGTCTGACATTAACCTGACAAGGTATGGAATTTACAATTCAATTGAAAAAATTGTCAATGAACCTTGTATTCTTACATGTCTCAGGAACTCTGGTCTTGTTTCAGAAGAGAAGATGAAGTATCTTGAGTCATGTGTGAAGACAAGGTACATTCTTAGAAGTCAATTGACAAAAATTGCACCGTTGGCAAATGTGAATATCCGAGTCAACATTCCGACTGAGAAAGGTTCTTCACATGACGACTATGTTGTTGACTTCAAATTGCCATGGTTGAAGATTGTACTTGTCCACAACCACTTCATGTTGAACGAAAGTCTTACAAACCCATTGTTCGGAAAAGGTAAGTGCAACATTGTCAGAGCTGTTAACATTCTTTTCGAGAAAGGCTTGTTGGAACCAATTCCAGATGACAAGCTGACAGAAACTTTTGTACCAAAAGACGAAACAAACTTTTCATTGTTGGTAAGACCAAAAGTTGTTCCAGACAAAGTTATAGCACAAAAGAAGTACACAGTTCCAAAAGGAGTTGGATTGTTCGGATACCAACCTGAACCAGAAGAACTTCCAATGAGGTTGCAAGAACTTCAAGATGCTATAAACAAACTTCCATTGAGACATCCAATTGACGTCAAATTGTATTGGAGAGCATCTGAGTTAGGTCAGAAGGTTTTATATGAAACAGGTTGCTTCGACGATGTTTATGAGATAACAGGAGAAGTTTCTCAGAAGATAAGAGACTCACTTGAATTTCCACGAACTGGGCCAATTGGATGCGACAAGTTCGACTCATATGAAAAAATATACTATGTCGACCTTAACGCTGCGTACATGAGGTTCGTCCAATATATTCCAACTGGAATTCCAAACGAAAAAGGTGAGTTCCCGGGAAAGAACTATACAGTTGGAAAAGTCATACAACAACTGTATGATATTAGGAAAGCTTCAAACCCCAAACTTGCAATGACAATCAAATTGCTTATGAATTCGACATGGGGATATTCCATTAAGAAACCTCAAAAGATGAAGAGTAAACACTATGAGAAGGTCGACAACTTTGTTGAAAGGTTTTCTCCTTTTGTTTTGAAGTACGAGTTCACCGAAGGTCAAAATGGCTTAGTAACCACAGTAAAACCTATTGTCGAACATTGGTCCTACCCTCAGTTCGCAAAGGCAGTCCTTGACAACTACAACAAATTCTTCTCCGAGGTTAAATCCAAAATTGTGGTATACTATGAGAACATTGACGCACTCATGACGAACGAGGAAGGCTATAACAAACTCATTGAAATGGGTTTAGTCGGTGAAAAGATGGGCCTTTTTAAGCTAGACAAGGTATTTTCCGAAGTTCATGTTCTCTCCAAGCGTAAGTACTGGGCCGTACTTGAAGACGGCACAGAAATAAAACATTGCATGAAATAAAAAATTGCATACCATTTTAAAACGTTTTTAAAACAGTATATTTTTACATATATAAAATGCTTCAGGTTGAAAAACAAAGAACAAAAGTAGCAGATACAAAACCGTTAGACTATATCTTTACAAACGCTGGTAGGAATATATCAGATGAAGAAATTTCATCTCGATCTTACAGGTTTGACTATCCAGTTCGTTGGCTTCAAAGTCCTTCAGATGCAAAGGCAATAGGATTTAGAAGAGTTTTGTTTTCAAATAGAACTAACGCATTCATGTTCGCAGTATATTTTCACGGTCAGTATAAAGGTTCTGATGGTCTAATAGAAAAATTTGACGAAATGAAAATCTTTACAATTCGTTCAGACGAAAGTCTTGAAAAAACTCTAAATGACTTTCAAACTCAAATAAACAAATACTACTGGGAATTTCAAGAAAAATACCACTCTTTACTAAATGGAACATACTATCTGAAGCTAGAATACGACAAGATGAACTCCACAGTTTCATTTCAAAAGATTGAAATTAACCCTCCAAGAGATACAGAGTTTTTATATTGGGGAGTAGACAAACGTTCTTGGGCGCAATTTCTTCGGTTACTAAACCAGAACGAACCATTACCACCAGATGGTCCATTTAAATTTATACTCCCACCAACAGATTTGACAGTTTATAGAAACGTGTTCGATCCTCAAAATGTCATGTGTCATGCAAGTTTCAGTTCAAGCAACAACAGTTTTCTTTGTATCGGTAAGGACTTTTATGACTTTGCTTCTAAATTCTACGAACCACCTAGTAACAGTTTCTCTGACTTTCAAGTTTGGTTCACAACAAACGGTGTGCAACATATTTTACCATTATACTATGACTTTTATCTCGAATTGTCTTTCATATACAACTACGGAAAAGTGCTGAAAAAGTACTGAAAAATATATTTTAGGTGAAGAGGTGAGATCTCACCTGTTTTCTCACCTCTTTTCTCACCCTCTTGAATTTTCATGAATTTCCTTAAGATAGAAAATATATTTTAGGGTAGATGGTTTTTTAGGTGTCACCAGGTCACCAGGTCCCCAGGTCCCCAGGTCCCTCGGTCCCCAGGTCATTTTAACTTCTCTGAAAAAGTGTGACAACATGACATTTAGACAACAACACAGGAAATAAACTTCATCGTACATGTTTTGTCAAAACTTCTTCATCGTATTCTTTCACCCGTTGAATTTTGTATAAAAAGCAACCCGCTGTTTTCCGCCGGTTGGTATATTCTTCACAAAATGCTTGTTTTGAGGTCGAGCCACTTTTGGCTCCACCTGTTTTTTCAACCAAAACTCATTTTTTTCGGCAAAAATATATTTTATGTTAGCATGTTAGATCTAACACGTTTTCTAACCACTTTTCTAACATCGTAGAAAACACACAAAACTCTTGAGTTTTATACAGAATTCGGCAAAAATATATTTTATGTTAGCATGTTAGATCTAACACGTTTTCTAACCACTTTTCTAACATCGTAGAAAACTCTCGAAATTCATGAGTTTTGACACTTTCATAAAAAACATAAAAAATAAAGTTAGTTTTTTTAAAAAAATATTTTTTATTTTTATTGTAAGAACATGTTAGCAACAACTTCACCAAACTCGTTAATCATGAACCCAACTTCAATGTTAGTAGAGATGAAAAGCTTCATTCCTTCTTCATATACTTTCGAAACAGAAATCCAGAAGATAAAGCAGGAACTTCTCCAAGGAGATTTAGATTGCACTGCGAAAGATGAAACAAATGAAGAATATCTTTATGAAATGCAGGATATTATTGACCATCTACCTAAACTTCCTGAAATACAACAACAAAAGCTTACTATTCCAGAATTTGAAGAAATTGAAGTCAAAGCAACTGACTCAGTAGAAACCAAGAAGTTCATACGTAAGGTAAACTATGAGTTTCTTGGATTTCATTGCAACCACAAAGTCATGGACAAAGACTGCGATATGGTATATAAAAATGTTTCTGACATATATAAATCTGAAGAATTTAAGACCTACGACAACTTTGTTTCGTTAGTTGCAAAATGTGTATGGCAGATAAGAGATAAAGATAGAAGAGGTAAAGTATGGAACCAACAGATAAAACCAGCAACTTTTGAGTTAAAGAAAACCATTGACGCCTTAGTTGTACTTGCAGGTTTTATTTCAATGTACAATGCTAAAATGAACCCACAATGTTCAAAATGTAAAGCAGCAATGAGGAAATATAACTACTCCGTCAAAGAGATAGAACGTATGAGAAACGACTATGCAGATTTAAAGAAAGAAGCAGAGAAACCAGCAGAAGATAAAATGGACATGTTGACATTTCTGAACAAAAACTATCCAACTGCTGACGATTTCCTTCTATCTGACGTCAAGAAGAAGTATAAAGATACATTCAATATTGTTAAAACTTTTGATATCCTTCGTGAAGAAATAGAAGCTACAAAACTGTTTAAAGTCATGAACCATCGCAACATATACCATGTAAAACGCTTGTAAATAGTTATGTTAGAAAAGTGGTTAGAAAACGTGTTAGATCTAACATGCTAACATAAAATATATTTTTGCCGAGTAAAATGACCAAATTTCATTATATAACTGTTATGAGTGACGAAGAGAACTTTGACACTTCGTCAAAAAAATCCCTGAAATCATATCTTTTATACAAAATTCAAGAGGTGAGAAAAGAGGTGAGAAAACAGGTGAGATCTCACCACTTCACCTAAAATATATTTTTGCCTGATTTACACTCATTGACGATGAAATTCATGACAAAACATTTACGATGAAGTATATTTCCTGTGTTGTTGTCAAAATGTCATGTTGTCACCGTTTTCAAAAAGATGTTAGTTGACCGAGGGACCTGGTTAGATCTAAAATATATTTTTGCCGAGTAAAATGACCAAATTTCATGAATTTCCTCATATGTTTGCGACCGGTGGAAAACCGCGGGTCGAGATTCCATTCGAAAATCGTGGAAAATTGCGAGTGGGAGAAAAACCCTGGTCGCCTAAAACTCATGAAAATCGTAAAAAAATGCGAGTAGGGAAAAAACCGGGGTCGCCTAAAACTCATGAAAATCGTAAAAAAATGCGAGTACGGAAAAAACCGTAGTCGCCTAAAACACATGAAAATCGTAAAAAATTGCGACCCCGACTTTTCCCGGGGTCGCCTAAAACTCATGAAAATCGTGAAAAAATGACCAAATTTCATGATATAACTGTATTTTTTTGACGAAGAGAACTTTTGCACTTCGTCAAAAAATCCCTGAAATCATATCTTTTATACAAGATAAAAAAATAGCGTTAGTTTTTATTTTTTTTATTTTTTTATTTTGTATGTAAGAACAGGAAATGACAAACACTGAGTTTGAAACAGTTAAAAAGATAGACAATGAGACCAAGGTGGTTAGAATAGGTGATTTAAACGTAAGATACTCAAAGAAATACAAAAAATATTCTTTGTCAGACATTTTAACACTATCTGAAGGAAAGAAAGCACACGACTGGGTTAAAAATGCTTCTACTCAGAAAATTTTGACAAAAAATCCTGAGCTTATGATATCGGTAAGATTCTATGGAACAAGAGCATATCTTATAGACAAAAGTCTTATACCAGTAGTTTTGTTCTGGATTGACCCAGTTGTTGGATATAATTTCATAACATATGGTTCATTCGATACGGAACGTTGCAGTGAAGGCTTACTTTACATCGTTCAGAAACCGAAGGACTTCAATACAAAAAGATATAAGATAGGAAGAACATATAATATAACTCAAAGATATGACAGTATAGTCAATAGAGTTAAGGTTGTGTTTGTGAATGATATGAGAGCTGCTGAAACAGAACTACTTGAAAAGTTTGAGAAAATGTATGGTGCTCCCACGAAAGGTAAAGAAACGTTTGAAGTAGATGAGATCGACAAAGCTATAAAATTATTTGACGAAGTTGCTGAAAAATACATGTAAAGCGTTTATTTTTGGTCTTTTATACAAGATAGAAAATAACGCTAATATTTTTTATTTTTATTTTTTATTTTGTATGTAAAGACAGATATGACAACAACAGAGAACACAACAACTGCTATCGTTCATGAAGCTATAGATGAAGAATACGAGTGGGTTCAGTATAACAAACAGTTACGTCTCATTCGTTCGGTCAAAGATGACATGTACCAAATGCAAAGTATTTTGACAGCATGTTTTGCTCCAGATACCAAACATACAGACGATTGGTTCAAAAACCAAAGCACACAAGAACTTTTGAGCGAAGCACAGCGAGACAGACTTTTTTCGGGGTCGCCAAAACTCTATGAAAATCGTAAAAATTTGCCAAATGGTTTGAGAGGTTGGTATGTACATAGACTTCTTGTAAATAATGTGGCACAATGGGCTTCAGCTCGCTATGCTTGGTATATTTGCAGACTTCTTGACGAAATTCATAGACAAGAACGTGAAGAGCTAGAGAACAAGCTAGAAGCAAAAGACAAAAACATACAGAAAAGAATACCACGTTCGGTACCAAAAGGAAAGGAAAAGAACTATAAGTATATGATTTACACTGAAGAGATGGAAAATGAAGAAGACAGAGATATGGTTATGTTGCATTTAGTCAGAAGAAACAACAAAAGCTTTTACGACCTTGCTAAGATTTACAAATCTGACAGAAATTGGTTCTATCGCGAAAACTTACCGATTTCAATGACACCAAATGAAGATGTTAAACAGATAGTTCAAGATACGTTACCTCAAACACACTATGATATGAAAGGTTGTACAATACTTACATTCAAAGAAGATTTGCCGCTACTGAAGGAAAAAATAACAGAGTATTTCGATAACTTCAAAGAGGAAGAGTAAATGAACCATATATTTTTCAAGCTTGACACCAAAGATGGCTCAGGTAGCTCTAGATGGTAAATTGTCTTGTCAAATCCTTCTGGCATTCCGAGTCCTTCCATCCGACAGGAAAAGTTTTTCCTTCCAACAGGAAAAAAATTTCCTTCCAACAGGAAAAGTTTTTCCTTCCAACAGGAAAAGTTTTTCCTTCCAACAGGAAAAAATTTTCCTTCCAACAGGAAAAAATTTTCCTTCCGACAGGAAAAATTTTTCCAGTTGTCCGTCCGTAAACCATTCAAATTTTCGAAAATTGAGAACTTTTTGGCCGACCTTCAGGAAAAATTTTTCTTTCCGACAGGAAAAATTTTTCTTTCCGACAGGAAAAGTTTTTCTTTCCGACAGGAAAAGTTTTTCTTTCCGACAGGAAAAGTCCTTCCTTCCGACAGGAAAAGTCCTTCCTTCCGACAGGACACAAACGAATGGCTGACGTTCCACCAACCGAGTCCATTCCAAAGCCAGAAGAACCGACAGCCCCAGCACCACAACAGACTAAGACTCAAACACTTACATTTTTACGCTTGACTTTTTACAATTTGAACTTTGTTTGCGTAGATGTGAATTCTGAAAGAAGTATGAGGGTCTTGTATGACTTTGTACTTCTCCCATAGTTCATGTCTGTCAAACTTACCTGCCATGGACTCTTTCATAAGTTCCATGAAATCGTCTTCGGACAATCCGGGGAAAAGTACAATGTCAGTAAGTATTCTCTTTACATCCTTACTTAAACTCTTGGCTGTCTGTACACAAATGACAACTGAAATGTTAAAGTGTCTGAGCTTCTTAAGAATTCGACACATGTCTTGTTCTCTGTTCTTTAAAACAAAGGATGAGAAGCAAAGTCATCTAAGATAAGAAGACATCTGTGAGGGTAAGTCTTCCAATTCGTAAGATTGCAATTTCTTTCGAAATGTATTCTATCTCTTTCTGTTTGTTTCTGAAGTGTTTCTTCTCTAATATTCTCTGCATTTCCTCATTTGGGTCTTTAAACCTCGAATTGACATACTCATTTATAGCATTGTACTTCAAAAACTCTTCTTTGGTACTTCTTTATCCAATCTAACAACTCAGTATCTTTTATACATACTAACTTAGACTTTTTTATATATCTTTGAACGAATTGACGGTTTGGTCAAATTGACCAGAAGTACTACAAATGACTACTAACTCATAGAATGGGTTCTTCTCTCATCTAGTTCTTGTTGTTGTGCAGCCATTTTAAGATAAGTGAAAGTCTTACCCGACCCAGGTGGTGCGATTAGACCTGTTATACCATTCTGAGCAAATAAGAACTTGTCATGTATGGGTTTTATCTGAGCATTTTCCAACTTCCTCTTGTTCTTGTTTAAAACATTCTCAAATTTCTTGTCAATGTCAGCAAACTTTTTTTCTAACATATTTTTAGAAAAATTAAAATTTTTATCTTTTAGGAAATGTCTAGCGATTTCGCTATCTATATTCGAGACAAGCTTTTCGACAGCAAAACATCTGTCGACCATAAAATCTTACATAGTGTAAACAAGAAAGGTGAATTTGTTCTAAAGTTCTGTTTCTGGGAATATGACAAGAACCATAAAACCTTAAGCAGAGAAGTCTTAAAATTTGTCAATGACAGACTTGTTGACAGAGATGACGCCTCTTGGAGAGATGAAGTCCAACAAAACTTCTTAGAATGCAAAGAAGACACATGCGCTGTTCTTGAAAATGAAATAGAAAACAGAATAGAAGAGCTATTAAATGACAAAGCACTTTTACAAAAATATGGTTCTGAGAAGTTTGACATAACTCCACCAGAGAAGAAGAAGAGAGAAAAGAAAGAAAAGAAAGTAGAAGAAGAGAAGAAAGAACCAGAGCCAGAGAAGAGATATGACATGTAAAAATAAAATTTTATTTTTAGAACATTTCTGGGTCAATGTCAATGTTCTCTTCCTCTTTAGGAGCAAACACTGGCTTAGACTCTAAAATCTTTTTACCCAATTTACCTTGAACTTCAACTATCTTAGACTCATAATATTCATAGTCGTCTGCTTTCTTTGGTTCATAAGGTATAACAAGTTTGTATGCTTTGCCTTCTTTAAGGTTTGAAACCTTCTGTCAAAACTTTCTTTGACTGTTAACAAACCTTCTATGTCTAAGTCTTCAAATTTCGCACCATTTTTAGTCACAATAGCAAACTTAACTGGTTCGATGTTCCAAACTTTGTCAAATGTAGACTTTTCAAAATGGTAGAAGTAAACATTCAAATATGTGAATGGGTCTAGTTCTTCTTTAAGTCCTGACATGTACTTGTTGACTGAGATGAATTTCGTCATCTTTTCTATCGGATAAAAAAAATATTTTTTTTAAAATTTACTCAGAAAAATTTTTCTTTGTATATACACCATTCTGTACGTCTAAAAGACTTTTGACATTTGCCAAGAATGTTCGTTTAGACGCTGTCATATAACCATACTCTTGACAATACTGTTTATACGAATCGTACAATGACCTTTCATCTAAACACTCAAAGTCAGTTTCATCTATGAACAGTTCATATACACTCTTGTTTGCTTCTAACAATGTTTGTCTCTCTTCGGTATGTGGAATTTGTCTTGGATTGAACTTTGAAATATCTAATGTCATGAAATATGAGAACAAGTGGTTGTAAAAGTTAGGTGTAAAGTTTCTGCTAAGTCGTCAAAATATTCTGTATCTTGCATATGAGCTTCTGACGTTCTGACAACTACATATCTTCTGTCAGAACTTTCTAACTTCATCGGAACGGCATTGTTTGAAACCATGATGAAATTTGCAACATTTTCACAAACTCTTTGGTCTTATACTTTCTTTCAACAACTCCAACTTTGTCTGTTATAAGACTCTTCAAAGCATCTGAGTTCAAAACCTTTGTTGTATCTATACTTTGAAGTTCGTTACATACTATAAGTTTCATATTCTCTATTGAAGAGTTAAATTTACCGCAGATGTTTTCTAAGTTTGTCATATTCGGGTTCGAATAGCCCTCTAACAGTTTGCATAAGATATCTGTAAAGAAAGTGTTCTTACCTGTTCCTTGTTTTCCAATTATGATGAGAGCAGTTTCATTTTTAGCACTTGGATGTTGTAAGATGTTTGCAAACCAACATAAGATATACTCATAGACTCTTTCGTTTCCATTGCATATAATTTCTTTGACATGGTCTAACCAAGCTTCTATAACATTTTCTTTCCATTCTACTTGTTCGTATTTATATCCAGTGAAGATAGAATAGAAGTTTGGAGATGGTGTATAGAACTTTATACCACGAACTGAAAAATCTTCTAACTTTGACAATAAGATATCCCAAGCATCTAACATCTTCATGCCAACTTGTACGACTTTTATTTTCTTAAGTTTCTGTTTACATTCTTGTTCTGAAACTATTGTCGCTTTAGGTTTGTTAAAGACTACATCCCATTCTTTCATGACATAACATTCTGGGGCAGAGTCGACATAAATGACTAAACGTTTCAAATTCTCGACTGCTTTGTTATAGTCTCGAAATGGACACATATTTCTGAACGCTTGGAAGTCATAAAAATCTGAAACGTCTATTCTGTACATTTTTTTATAAAAATAAAAAAAAATATTTTTTATTCTTGAGCTATTTGTTGTTCTTGACTTTGTTGTTGCATTTGTTCCATTTGTTGCATTTGTTGTTCTTGAGCTATTTGTTGTTGAAGTTGTTCTTGTAGTACAATACTTTCACCAGTTGCATCTTCCAATTCGAAACTTTCTGCCGTCATTGACAAATACATAGGACATAAAAGTTTTACAGGAACAAAGTTTGCGTCAACTAAGGTTAAGTTTATGTTTGCTAAAGTGTTTGAGTTTACTAAAGCTGAAAACTCTGCATTCGAATGAACAATAGGCAAACCAGCAGAGAAAGTGTTGTTTATACGCATGAGTATCTTTTGGTCATAGTAGTTTCTGTCGACATTCGAATAGCACTTTGAACCTAAGTTTGAAACAATATATAAAATAGGTGTACTTAAAGTCAATGGAACAGACATTCCTTGTATGACACCTTTTCCTGTTATAGGAAACTGTTGGTAGTAAAAACCAGATATAAGTTTTGTATTATAGCTCATATCGTTTATACTAAACTCAGTCGGACATCCAAACATAATGAAACCTGCTCTAGTTGCAGCACATGTTACATCCGTCCTTAAAGTATTAAATAAGTCAACAAAACCTGTTGGTGGTATATCTGAGTAAGTATCTTCAAAGGAGTATTTTTTACCATTCACAACAAAAAATCTTCTGGTGTCAAAAGAGCAAAACAGGCTTTAGTCGTCATCGTGTTTAAGGTCAGTTTACAATATCGTCCTTGAGGACTTTGTAAGTTTGTTGTTATAGAATTATATGACTCAGGGTTTTTAGTCGTAATAGTATAAACCACTATGTCTTCTGCCATTTACATATATTTAAAAGTTTTTCTGAAAGTGGAGAAGAACTTCATCTAAACTTTCACATGGCGTTTCTTGAAGTTCTCTGTCTAAGAAGTTCAAATATTTTGTAAAGACATAGAACTTTCCTTTGTCTACACGAACAAACAAAACAGGGTCTTTCATATCGTTCAAAAGTGTGTAAAGTCCTTTACATGAAATAAAGTCTATATTGTTTTTCTTCAAACATCTTTCAAGAAGTTTTGACATTTTTACTTAGCAAGTAAATTTTAATGAAATGTTGTGGTCGTCAAATATTTTTATGACGTCTGGGAAACTATATTTTAAGTTCAACGTTTCACCTCCTTTCATAACGTATATCTTGTCAATGACATTATATGAAACACCACAGCAAGCAATGTCGGGTTCTATTTCTTTGATGTTTATATCGTCTGCCTCTGTCAAAAGTTTCAATAGTTCTTTCAAAATTTCATGAGGTGCAATGACATATGAGTTCACTTTTACAGGGTTGTGTTCAACCAAGTTTAACATTATACCAAAGCTTGACAAATCTTCTCCTGAGTTTTAAGTTTGTCTTTAAGTTGTTGGTAGTCGTTTCGAATATCTGCAACAGAACTTAAGTCTCTGCTAACTTCAGGTATGTTGGTTGTTCTTTTACAGGAACTATTGTTATACCATCTTCGTCTTCGTATGGTTTCCCCACTTCAACATCTCTGTCTTTGACATTGACAACAACACTTTGACTGTTTGTTTGAGTTGGTGAATTTAACTTCACATCTGCCATCGCCATTAAACCTTTTGAAACACTTACGCTTCTATTTTTCGGAAATGACATTTTACTTAGAATAAAAAGATGGACGTATTTGAGTATCTCTTCGAATTGAAGCAAAACAAAGTTTACACACACAAACAATACAAGTTCATTGACAGAATAGTTCTTTATACAAACAATGGAAAATGTTATAGAATAGCAGTCTTTGCTGAACCAAAATATTTTCATAAAGCAAAGAAAGTTGGTATAACCGAGATGGTGAAAGTTCTTGAAGCAGACAAAAATATAACAACAAAACTGACCGATATTTCTAAAGGTAAGTTTTAATACAATATTATATCAAAACTGGCGTACTGTCAATATTTGACGGAGAGAAGTCAGTTCAAGAACAACTTACTGACCTGCTGCCAAAATCTGCTCGATGGAAGCTGTCGTTATACCAATCTGAGGAGCCCCAGCAGGTTTCATCGAACGAATCTTCAAAAGAGCATCTTCCGTGAAAAGTGCTATTGGTTTTGTAAACTTCTTTGCTTTCAATTCATCTGGACCGTCTCTGTCACCAGTATATTGTATTTGAACTGTACCAACAGTTGAAATACCACCCATAAAGTCTTCTGAGTCAGCAAATGGAATGCCAAGCCAAAAGTTTGAACGGTCTCCATTTGTATATTGAGTTTTTTGACCTCCTGTATGAGTCCATACTTTCACATATGGCATAATAGAACTTTGCATTTCAGGGTTAATGGTTGTTGTGAAGTTGTTGTTAAAGTTCATAGCATCTAATGTCAAGTTGTATGACCTCATATCCTCAACTGTAGAATATTCTTCTCTTGGATAGTATTTGCCATCTATGTTTATATGATATTTAATACCGGGGTTGTAGAAACAAGAATAGTCATTTATAGTTCGTCTGAACAGTACAAACATAGTATCTGCATGTTTCATTGCAGTTGTTAAGCAATATCTGTTCTTGCACCTGGGTCAGCACTTTGGTTTCCAACTTCACCTGCAAAGTCTTTGACAGATATTTGGTGTATAGGGAACATAAGTGGAACTGCAATATATTTGGCAGCTAAAGCATTTGAAATATCTGGGTCCAACATATAGACTGCAAGTCTGCTTTCTATTCTCTTGCATTCAAACTTTTCGCATGTGAACTTAACTGGGTCCCAAGCAGTTCCAGCAGCATTGAAGTAGTAGTTTACTTCAGTGTTGAGGTTTGAGAAACCAAAGTCTAAGTCAACTTTGTCTTTGCAAAAGTCACAGAACTTGGCTCCACCAGTTCCAGCTACAGAGTGAATGGGTCTTGTGTTGGTGCAATGACTAAGTTATTTTTGCTTGGAGTAAGTTCGATAGAAATTTTTCCTGCCCAGTTTGGCAAGTATCTTAAAAACCTGAAGATGAGGAAAGATGACAAAGGAACTCTAAGTTTCAATTTTACTTTGGTTACTGCTGCTGCAGTTTGTCCAGAAAGGTCAACATAAACTCCTGGAACGTTAGGGTCAAGTCTTCTTATTTTCTCAATAGTTGCATACTGGTCTGTTTGTTCTCTAGCTTGTGGTTGTACTGAGTTTCTCAAAGCGAACCATTCATAGTTTGCCCATGTTACTGTTTGAACTAAGTCAGAGTTAGAATATATCTTATATCCCATGAAAACTTCTGGAGCATATTGGTATCCGACATAGAAAATTCCATTGCAACCTTTCTTGTCAGACAACTTGGCAGAAGGTTTTATTTCAATGTCTTGTTCCACGTATAAGAAAGAGTTGTCAATAGAAATTATATGAAACCTGTCGCAAGCAATATCTACTGTTGTTGAAGAACCTTCTCCAAACTCACCTACGTTTCCATAAGAAACAGCAGTTGTATATTCGTAAGTTCCAGGAACTATTTCTGACCTTCTAATGGCATTGTCGCATTCGTTATACCATTCGGAAACATTTCCATTCATGGCATCCAAAACTGTTGGCGTTATATTCTGAGCGGCGTACATTTCATATGGTAAAAATATAGAATAGTTGGATTTATATGTCATAATAGAACCCACGTGGACCAAGCTTTACTTTCTTCCTGACTGAGTTTTTAACTCTTCTTTTTCCTTCATTGCCACTACTTTCACTAGATGAAGTTACTTCTTCACTACTTTCACTTTGTTCTACTCTTCTCTTCTTCTTTGGTGTCGCTTTGGTAACTTGCCCTCTGCTTCAAGTTGTTGCATCTTTGCCTCATGTTCACCTAGTATGTTGTAAATTTCCCATGTCCTTTTTGCCTTTGGGCTCTGGTCGCCCATCTCAGGTAACCTATATCCTAGAAAGAGTTTGTCATAGTTTGTATTTGAGTCTTCGCGTATTGTTTGCATGACTCTTCCTGAGTTTCCGGTTCAAGCTCTTCAAACAGTGCCTGTCCATATGGAATATGCTCGTTTCCAAATATATGTTTTTGTAGCCATTCTGGTTTTCTTTCCATGTTACCAACTATATCTTTTGTGAATGGGAAAGCTTTTACCCAATCTTTCAGTCTTGCGTCATTTATTTCTGTAGTTGGTTTTATTTTGTCAAGGAACATGTTTTTCAATACTAACATTTCATTTGGTACTGTCCATTTGAGTTTTCTTAAATATTCATCCCTTCTCAGTTCATTGTCTGCAAAGTAAGTTTTTATGACATTTTGTAAACTTTCGTTTGCAAGGTCATGTACAATAGGTTCTCTTCCTTCTCTCTCCCTAACTTTCTTTCTAAACTCTTCACCAAATATACCATCTCTATGGTTCTGTGTAGTTCTTTGAGATAAATGTTCTAGAACGTCAGGTGTTATATTTCCATCAGCCATGTTCATTTCATACTGGTCCAAAATATCTGCATGTTTCATATCTTTCAATGGCATTAAAGCCGCGCTTAAAATACCAGCTATATCTGGTTCACCATTGACTTCCATTGCGTCTACAACTTCTTGGAATTGTGGTTGTAAGTTTATGAACCACCTATCCGGGTTAGCTTTATGACCCCATCTCATTGTAGTTCCATCGTCTGCAGAAACAAAAGTAGGTTTGTTTCCATCTTGGTTAGGTTCTGAATGAACTTTAAACAATGTTTCATTTCTATATGTTTTCTTGAAATTTAACCTTTTATTTTCACCGAGTTCATCCGAAGATTGAACGTTAAATGCTCGTAAGTAAAAAGGGTTGTTGTATTTGTGTACATTTTCTTTCAGTACTTCCATTCTATGCTGAATATTTTCATCTGGTGTTGGAGTCTTTTGTATGTCGGCAAACATTTTTCGATATTCTTCTACTATGTCAGCCGAATTTTTTTTAGACTCTTGGAAATATTCCATATTCTCCGCATACTTGTTGAGGGTCAAGATTTTTCGGCTGTTCCAAATCT